GCGCCTGGACGGCCTCCAGGATGCCGGTGGAGGCTCCGCCCACCAGGCCGCCCACCATGGACCGGTCCAGGCCCGGTTTGTGTCCTGCGGGTCGGTCCAGGTCCAGTCTGTCCACCAGGGCCTTGAAGTACTGCAGAGAGCTGAGGACGGCGCGCTCCTGGTCCAGCAAGATGGCCGACTGCAGAGAGTTAGCATCATCAGAACCTCAGGAACACCGGCTACCGGTCGGACCGGGTCGGTTCTCAGGCCGATCCCAGCGTTTTTCAGCCAGTGACTGACGAAGACTTTGGAAGAACCAGAACCAGAACCCCTTGATGTTCCTCTCAGTGTTGATGTGGAGGCCTTCTAACGTTGCTAACACTGCAGTGAACATAGTCTGGGTTAGCATGCTAACCATGCTAAGTGCTAACCGAGGAACGCCAGGTAACCTTATGACCTCTGCAGGTTTTGGTTCTGGTTCTAAACTACTTTACTGAGAGCACAGAAAGGAGGAGTTTAGGATAATCATTTACTATTTTATTAATTTAATATTATTGTAATTAATGTCATGATTTTTTTAATTACTGCTTTCTGGCTGATGATGGTGATTATTAGTATCAGAATAAGTTCTGACCGGGTTCTGACTCAGGTCCAGGTCCGGAGGCTTGGCTCTGGTCCGGTTCCGCTGGGGGTGGAGCCTATCCTTCAGCTTCATGGTGAGGAAGACGATCTGGGAGGCTGAACAGGAAACCTTCATCAACAATCCATCAAAATAAAAGCCTCAGCTGAGTTGGCAGCAGGTAAATCTGTGCTTTGATTGGCTCAGCCATTTAGATCCCGCCCACCCAGATGCTTCCAGAGGACTGCAGGCCTCAGCCAGCAAAGGTCAAAGGTCAGGGCACACAGAAAGCCTCTGCTCTAAAAACAAGATGGCTGACGGTCTTAGGGTGACCCATCACAGCAGAACCGGAGAGGCCGGGCCCAAACTGGGTCACCAACAGAACCAGGATCCAAACACGGCAGAAGATCTGGAGCACAACGGTCTAGTCAAAGTAGGAGCTGAGGAACTGGTGCTGACCCGTTCTGTTGTTCTGTTAGAACCCTGAGAAGACCCGGTATGAGACCGGTTCTGACAGCTGAACTCAGACTGGATCAGAACTGAGCCGGTCCAAATAGAACCAGCTGAGTGGGTTCATCTGGTTGGAAGCAGAACCGGGTCCAGAACCACATCAGAGCCAGAACCAGGATATTAAGACTGAACTGGTGATACCAGAAAGCTCTTCCTGTCTGGTCCCAGAACTCGGATCGGTTCTGATCCGACTGACTTCTGACAGCGTCTGGGTTCTGGTGGTGCCTTCACCGTCACCTCAAAGCGTGGGACAGAACCGGAGCGGGTTCTGCTACAGGAAGTGAAGCGCGAAGGAAACTCACCTGATTTTGAGTCTGAGCGGGAAGACATCGTTGGCGGGCGCCCCGAGAGGGACAGGTGGACACTGGAGGGACAGGTGGACACCAGGGGGGACAGGTGGGACCGAGCGGGGACGGATGAGACGCTCTGATCCTCTCACAGTCTGGGTTTCTGTCGACCAGCCGTCTCACTTCCTTCCTCCTTCTCTTCTTCCTCTTTCTGTGAAACTCAGCCTCCCGGTAACCATGGCAACAGCCATGACGCTGCTCTGAGGTCGCAGCAGTTCCTCGCGCAGCAGCTCCCCCTGCTGGCTGAATGCACTCAACACAGGAAGCTCACTTCCAGCTGCAGGTGGGTCGCTGCCAGAACCTGACCCAGTCCCGACCCAGAACTCGAACTGGATCAGACCCGGAACTGGTTCAGAGCTGAACCAGTTCAGACCGGATCCAGAACCGGTCCTAGGTCTGATTGATAAATCTTGTGAAATTTCCTTTTAGATCCAGAAGTTTCCATTCATTACATCAGGATTGGATGGAAACTCTTCAAACCATCAGAGTCTGGAATAACCTGGAATAACCTGGAATAACCTGGAGGATTCAGCCAGCCTGTTTTCCTTGCTGATTTTTGAAGCTTCAGTAACTTTTATTAAATGTTTTTTTCCATGTTAGTGAATCTGCCTCTATGTTTGTTGTGAAACAGATCCAACCAGAGCCAGGAGGAGGGGCTAAGCGCTGTCAGTCATCCTCGTGTGCGCTGCTAAATGTGCCAATGGAGCAGAAACAACTTACCCTGACAGGAAATTTTATATGCCTTCATCAGTTGCTATGCTAACTAGCTTAGCATTCATTCAAAATGGCTGCAGTGTGTAGGGAGGGTCTGAGCAGCATGTACACAAGGATGAGTGACAGCGCCAACACCCTCCTCCTGTCTCTGATTGGTCGATCAAGACATAAGTTTCAGCAAATGTATAAAAGCATTTTCATAGAAATGAAATCCTGCAGCTTTAATCGGATTAACTGTCGGTTCTGATCCGGTTTTAATAAGGAGCCGAGGGCCATGGTTTGATCCACATCACTTTATTGAGGTCACATGACACACGGTTGGTGGGCGGAGTCAGAGTATCAATACGTTTATTATTAGAATGATCAGAGTGAGTCACTGAGCATGCTCAGACTAACAGCAACAACACGTCACGGCTAACCACACACTAACCACATGCTAACAACACGCTAACCACACGCTACATGGAGCACCAGAACCACGACACAGAAAACGGACCATGATCTATCAGAACCACGCCGCCAGGCTGCTCAGAACCAGGTCAGCAGGACCGGACCGGGTCAGCAGGCCCACGCTTCTGGGTTCAGGCCGCTCAGAACCGGGTCATCAGAACTCAGTCAGAACTTTGGAGCAATATATGGCGGCGGGGAGCGAAGGGGCGGAGCTTAGCAGCACTAGTTAGCTCTAATGGTTTCGGATTGGTTCCTTTGCATCTGCTCTGATTGGCTGATGCTAGCTGTTTTCATGCTCAGAACCAATTAGGGAGCAGCAGCTGGGTCCAGAACCTAAACCGGGTCGATCCAGAACCCAATCTCTGCATGCAACGACCCAAGCAAACAGAACTGTGATCTAGAACCTGATGAAGCCCGGCTCCGTTCTGATGACTGGGTTCATTCAGTATTGGAACCAGTTTGAACCAGTTTACACCAACCGGAACCAGCTGGAACCAGTCAGTGACAAGGAGGACCAGTCTGGATACGATTTACACCAGTTGGATCTGTTAGAACCAGAAGAGAGCAGATCTCACAAACTGGAACCAGTTTGGACCAGATAGAACCAGACTGGATGAGGGACCAATCGAGTCCACCACAGAACTAATTGGGTCAAACGTCACCGGATCAGCAGAACGTGATCAATAAGTGGCAGAGCATCAATAATCGATAGACAATAAATAACCATTAAAACAACAATAAAACAATAAAAAAAACTCAACAAATAACTGATAAATATCCGATAAATAGACGGCAAATTAAACTTTACACTGTAAAGAAATGTCTCAGCTTCGTTCTGGAGGAACCAGGAAACTAAAATCCAGAACTGATCCCAGCCTGAAGATCCGGAGCACAGTGAGGCATCTTGTTCTGTAGGACGGCTCTGTAGTTGTCCATGTCCACAGTGAGACAGACAGGTGGACAGCAGGTGGTTTGGATTCATCACAACGAGCTACTAATGGTCACCAACATGAGGGGAGCGGATCACACACGGTTCAGGGGTCAGAGGTCGTCGGGTCAGCCCTCCATGGACGACTGGGGGCTCTCTCCGTGGGCGGGGCTACCTTTACTGGGGCGACTGGGACAGAGGACAGAGAGAGGACAGGTCAGCAGTGGGTCAGGACCAGCCCAGCAGGAACCCATCTGGAGTGGATCAGAACCAGAATCCCATCAAAAGGACGGCGGTACCGACAAGCCCAGTCCAGATGGATCAACAGAACCTGAAAGCTGATTGGACCGAACCCAATGGCGATGGCTGGAGAACCCAGGAACCACAGAGGACCGACAGTGGACCCTTCCAGAACCTCCAGCAGAACTTTCTCACCGGGTGAGAGAAATTAACGTTCTGCTGGTTCCGGTGGACCAACAGAACCAGGAGCAGAACCAGAACCGACCGGGACGGCTCGGTGCTCGCTTGTGGTTCAGTGATGGTGATTGGGTGGAATCAGGGGTCGGAGTCATGAGGCGGGGTATTTGGGTATTTGGGCGGAGTCAGGCTGGTCTGGAGGGTCGGGATGGAGACGCAGCAGGTCTGTGACTGAGACAAAAACAAATGAACAGAGACGGACAGACAGCTACAGCACAGTCACATGACTAATGATGATGCAGAGGAAGTGGACGGGGTCACAGAGTAAGAATCTGATTGGATGATTGGAGATGCAGACACATCAAACAGACAGCTGACGTACCATTGGTGGAATCCTCATTGGTCACTGATTGAGATTCTGAAAGAATAACCATATATGGTCAATATGGGGGTGTCACTGACACACTGACAGCTTCCTGTTTGCCTTATATGGTACTGGTAGACCACGATCACACAAACACAGGACACAGGGACAGGAAGAGTCGGACGGACGGATGGATGGATATGATTAAAGGGGCGGGGCAAAAGAAAGACATCTCTTTCTTTTCTTCTTCTGTGGAGGTTGTTTGTGGATCGTTGTGTGTCGTTCTACAGCGCCAACAAAGAAGAACAACGTCCTCTTTATGTGACCAATCACAGATCATTTACTGAGCAGATCTGCGTCCTCATAGGTTCAGCAGACATTTTGAAAACAGGACAGGCTGTTGATGAACGCACCATCAATCATTAAGGAGCGATCTGGGACAGAGTTCAGACTTATTTACATGCACACACATGTTTGTGGGGACTTCCCATTGACTTCCATTCATTTCTACAGCCTAAACCAGGGGTCCCCAAACTTTTTCCTGCGAGGGCCACATAAGTGTTCCCTTTTGTGGTCGGGGGCCGGTCTGTCGAGTCGGGGGGGTCTTTGAAACTGTCGAGCGAGGGGTGCGGGGGGAGGATTACGGTCGACGACGATTTTTACCCAGAATGCAAATGGAAAAAACCGTCAGCGAAACGGTGACTGGGACTGACGAGTATATATTCCATTGAGGGAAAGTAAATTTCACATTTGCTCAAAAGCCCCCTGGTGGTTGAAGAAAAATCCACATATAAACCGGAAAATACAATATATGAAAAAAAAAACACTGAATGCTCTCTGGCCGTAGTTTGGGGACCCCTGGCCTAAACCTTACCCTAACCCTTACATACCTAACCCTAACCAAAACGCAATTCACACCTTAGTCCTAAATCTGACCCCTGACCCAAAAACAGTATTTCCCCTTGTGGGACCAGGCTTTTGTCCCACAAGGAGCAGTGGGTCCCCACAATGTAGTATGTGTCAGGAAAATGGTCCCCACAAGGTATTACAAACAC